ACAACATTTAAGGCAACACATCCACATTTATATATTTTTATTATATAGAGAAAAATAGGCTGAAAATTTTAAAAAAAGGTTTTCTGTTTTAGAATAAAAGAGACTCTCTTAAATAGAATATTTTTAACATGCAAACTGATGGAAACAAAATTTTTTATGAGATTTCCATTGAATGTGATATATGGAGATTTTACTGTATAATGATGATAATTTAATAAGTGATAGTGTATAGATTTTATTAGTATACAGGTATATACTGTATAAATATTAAAAAAAAATTCTAATTGAAGAGAAACAAATATTATTGAGTTAAAGATTATTTTTATATACTGCATATATAATAACTAAGCTTAAATTTGATGATTGTTTTTAAAAGAATCATTGGGGTCAGATAATCAAATCAACTAAAACACACCTCTACTGCTCTGGAAGACTTGACTTCAAGTCCATGTTAGATTAGATAGTCGTAAATTAAGTCTGCTGGAACCTGGGGCCGTATTCTGGTCACTGTCTCTGGTCTCTCGTCTCTCGCAAGCTGGTCGCTGATTGGCTAATCATTTGGATTAGCCAATCAGCGACCGGCTTGTGAGAGACGGTGACCAGAATATGNATTCGTGATGAATCTTAGTTCTGTTTGGGATGCCTTTACTGTTGAGTGGCTACTGAGAATCCATATGATATAAGAGTCAGGTTACTCTTCCAGTGTTATGAAGTACATTTATGGCATAATGGTATTCAGGAAATCCTGCATCCTTATATTGCCTTTTGTGATAGCTGCAGAGACATTTTCTAACAAGATAATGCTTGGCCATGCACACCAGGTTTCGTCACATTAACACACTGTAGCATGCCTAGTTTCCAAATTTGTCATCTGTTGAGTATTTGTGGGACAAAATGGATACCATCTATGAGAATGAGGGATCTGCAGTGGCAATTGCAACATCTGTTGGCAAATCTGTTGTATGATAGCATGTGATGCCTGTATTCCTCCATGCTGACTATATTGCTGCATATATCCAAGCAAGGGGAGGTCCTACAAGATACTGAAGGTTCATTTAAATTGTATCATTGTTGTGTAGGAAATTATCCCTTTATGAAATTATAATCACTTATTACCATAGTCATTTCTAGGCTGGTTGTGATAAGTGTGCATGCACATAGGCAGCCAAATTTCTATGGCAGACAATAATGCTTTTTAAAAAATATTAAATTGTATTTTAAATTTATTATTTTAATATAGTGATCAGCAATGAAATTGATGTTTGCATGGTGACTGATGATAAAGCTGTGCAGTTTATGGATATAAATAACACCAAAGCATACATGTTAAGTGTTTTGCATCAGAAAACTTAAAAGTGCAAGCAACAGGTAATGGAGGATTCATTTGTTGAACAATAGAAAATTCATCAGTGGGAATTCATAACCACTATGATTGTTTCTTGTTTTAAATGACCTAAAACACATACAAACTCCAAGCTTTATTTATGTTAACATCTTATGATTAAGTTTAAGGTTACACTTATATAACTTGTGAATGATTGATTGCATTAAATAATATAGGTACTGTACAATGTTTTATGTTTATGCTTGCTTAAAAAAGTATGGGAATAGAAGCCCATTATGAATGGGCTTTTATTCCCATACTGTTAATCTTAAAGCAATACTTACACCATTTTTTAATTGTTAATGAAACCAAAAGGAAATTTAAATAAAAACAGAGATGTGTGCGAACAGTATTAATTTAAATTAATTTTTATATACACATATATATTGTATTTATATACTAAATAAGAAAATTTCTTTAAATGAATTTCATTTTAATTTGCAAATTATATTTTATGGAGGCACTAAAAAATAAATTTTAACCAGGGGCCTTGTTACCTATGAGGCAGCTTGATATGAATAAAATTAAAATAAATATATATCAAACATTTTTATGGATTTTTTTTATATGAAACTGTCATAAAATGTACCAATAGGTTCTCATGGGTTGGGTTAGGTTATGAATTTACTCACGAATAGGGGCGACCAAATATCTGTAGCACGCAGATGGCTACCAGTCCAAATCCTGCCCTGGTCATTACCTCTGTGCTAATAAAGTTTCATTAAATTCTAATGCTGCCCCATTGGTTTTTAACTTGTTTTATCATTGAGTGTGTATTTGAAAGAAAAATAGCATTTTTAAACAATTCAGTGGCAAAACTAAAGCCGAGTATATCTGTATTAAAGCATTTTTCTTTTAATTTATGGATTTATAAATTAATATGATGACAAGTGTTACCTTTTAAAAGCTTAAATACAAAATTTATAAAATTAATAATTCAAAAGTTAGTGCAGTCAACTTTTGAGTATTTTCGTTTACATTTGTACTACACGCTTCTTATGTAAATACTCTCCTATTCAGCAATTACTTTCACGCTGTAGATTGTAATCTTTCCTATTATAACTTTGAATGCGCACATGCTATGTTAATTGTTATATATTCATTGAGAGTAATTTATAGTTTATGCTTGAATTATTTATGAAGATGTTTAAAATTTATTTATATTCTTTATCATAAAATAAATTTTGTTAAATAATTTAATTAAGAGAATGTAATAAATTTTAAATAATTGTTGGGTTGAAATTTGAAAAAAATTTTAGACCTATAAATTCCCATTGTCATCCGTCGTTCCTTAATCTCGAGAATAGAATTAGATAAATGACATACGAGACCAGATATAAAAACCTTAGGGGCAAGAGATGTATATAAGAATATCCGATGCAAACTGGAAGTCACATTATTTCAATTTGAAACTTTCCTCTGGAAAGTGTTAGATGGCTGGTGTGACTATTGTTAAAGGAAAAGTATCATGTACAGGGGTAATCCACTACTAATTTGAGGTGGAGAGCATATATATTAAATTAATTGAAATTGTGATTAAAAACTGCAGCCCAGCATTGTGACAATTTCACAATAAATAAATTGCTAATATCTGCTTGTATTTGGTTATCATCAGTGAACAAATAATTGACATATTTTAATGATATTTATCTACTGTTCAATAACAATTCATGATGATAAATAATAGCAGATTATTCTCATTTAATTATCAAAATATATTCAGATATCTGCTGGATTTAACAAATATCTGAATATATATATATAACATAATTAACCTAGGAATTGTGTGATCAAACAAAAGAGGAAAATTGCCTCCCTGTGTATTATATAAATATTAATTTTATACTCATTAAGTTTGTGCTTCAAATCAATTATTTGCTCTATTATTCTGTACAAATACATTCAAGTTCTTTCCAATTTGGATATATTTAAATATATGATGCAGGTATGTATTGCTGCATGTAGAATTATTTCTTTCCACTTGATTGATCAGGATCAGATATACTGTATAGTTAAATATCAATATGTGCATGCAGATTCTTATTGTACTGTATATAAGGACTGATAATTCATTTAATAATCAATTATTTTTATTCTTATCATCTAAGTCTTATGATGATTTGTCATGCTTGAAATACTCTGACTCATACATATATTTGCCATCTCCATGCCCATCTGTCATGCTTTCTGTAATTTATTTTACAACAGATACCAGAAAATTGTCATTGTTATACTATGTGCCTCCTCATCAGATGTGAAGTACTTATCTTTCAGAATTTTCTTCACTTGCAGGGAGAGTCAAATGGGACGAAAACATTATGTGGAGGATCTGTAATACTGGCAATGTGTGGTTTAGCATTGTCATTGAAGAAACTACTCTAATTAGCAGGTTCTGGACTTTCTACTTGATATCATTGCAAAGATTTTTCTAAAATCAGATTATGCTTTCTTATTCAGAAAGGTTCTTTGGGGCACAAAATATACAACATTGAGAACAGCAAAAACTGATCAGTATTTATGAAAATGGGTCTCAGGTTTTCAGAGAATGCAACTAATATATTTTCCAAGAAATTCACACTGGAAAAAATTATGAGAATGATTGTGAATTAAATGATTAGCCATATAAATCATGTAAATTAATTTATGTTCGTTTATGCCTGTCAATGGATAATCAAAACAAACCTTTGAAGATCTTTAGTATTCATTTTTCTATGAGATCTCAAATTATGTACACGTGTTTATATTCAGAGATCTATTTTACGTACCAAAATACATAGGATACAGGAGACTATAAAATCCTTGTGCTGTTTAATTAATTAAAACCTTCAGCCCTCCATTTTAAAAGCAATGTTAATTGTTTGTGAATAATTGTTATAGATCTAACAGAGTGCGAAATACTCCAAAAGTGGATTATACGATATTAAAGGATCGCTCCTAGTATAACAATCGTCATATTTAAATTTTTTAACTCTTCCAAAATGATTTTTTGTCTGGTTCTTTCCGAGTTGTCCGTTTTAGGTATTAAGAAGGCCTTTTTCAGAGCCCATGGCAGGTTCGGCTAGACCGAATGGGACGGTATAGAATGGGCCTTAATATCCAGTATAGACAATCTCCGAAAAACTTATGGGATCTATCGACCTGCTCGGATTCGATACTTCGTCCCTCTTAATTAATCGTCTCGGTTATCCCGCCGGCTCTAATGAGGGACTAAACACCCAAATCTCCCGTGTACGCGGCTTTGAACGAATTAGAACTTTTCTCAAGTATACTTGATTCGCTATTTATACATTTTATGCACTTATTTATGCATGTTTAATGGATATTTATGCAGTACATTAAAACTGTTTACGTCGGATTAAATAGAGTGATACAATGAATTCTTTCCACAATTAACAATTTATCATTTACGCAACTAACAAAATTAACAATTACTCGTTTATTGACGTAACAATTTTTATTTTATTTGTTACGCTGTATAGAAAAATATACATTGACATAAATGGATAATATCTCGAGTAAGTTTCATACAGACGTCATGGATAAATGTGGATTCCGTGTTGAAGGGAGTCTTGGAAAAGGATCTTTCGGCTTCATTAAAAAATTGCTCTGTGTGTAAATTGATTGTCACTTAACAGTTAAAATTTTACATAAATTCGACAAAAGCAATCCGAAGAACGAGATGGACAGATTTATAATTCGAGAGCTGGCTGTAATCCGTATTCTTCATCATCCCAACATCATCAAGTTCATAAAGACTATCGAAACAAGCAAACGGTAAGTTAATCTGATGAAAAAGTCAATTAAATTTATAAATGTTTATTGGATACACTTTATTTTATTATATTGAATAATCATTGAGCTGCAATTTGAAAACATTAGATATAAATTCCTACCTACCTACCGTAGAATATATACCTACCATTTACTATTTATTGTTTTACTGCATTCGATATTACATTAATTAATGTAGATATTGTATAAATTGTCGTAAAAATATTAGTAACAAAACTCGCTATTATGGTATTTTTGGCGTTGAAAGCAACAAAAACTTTATTTGTAAAGGACGTTCATAACATACAGAGACTTTCTTATTCCCGAAATGTAACTGTAATCAAATTTGGTTCCTTTTAAACTGCTAAATGTTTCTAGACGACGTTGAATAGCCGTACTTTAATTACTCGGTATAAACTGATTAAGCAAAACATTATGACTATTATGGTGTGATGAATGGTAGGAGTTGGCAGGTTCCGTTTCAACTTGTAAATGTCAACTTTTATAAGCAAGAAGCCGTCATTATGAACTCTCAATGTGTGTAGTGAAACTGAAATGTTCATTGAAAAGACCCTAAAAGAGTATGAAAAAGAACATACCTAGGAACGAGTATCTTCGAAGAGAGACTAGTGGGTGTTCCCGTGCAGTCGTAATGAGCACCCGCCGGGCGTTCATCTGAAAAGAAGAAACAAGAAAGCTTGGACCAACGATTCCAGAGTTGTTAAATCAGATATAAGTTGTTTTTCGGGTGAATTAGACACGTGTGTCTATTGGGTGAAATCAAGCCAATGGTGATGGTGTAATGTTCGGGGTGTTGTGGGGAAGCCAGAGGTTCCAGTCAGTGGACCACATTTTGACAAGATACATCTACTTAAATGTCATTGCAGACCAGGCACATTCTTTCATGAGCAAAAGATTCTGTAATTGAGGTTTGAGGAACATAACCAGGAGTTTGGCGTGTTGTCTTAGCCACCACATTTGCCGGATCTCAATCTCATCGATATTCTTCGATGGACTGTCCACTTTGCTACACATGCACACGAAACCTGCAAGAATTGAAACACCAACTTGTGGATGCATGGTCCTAGATACCAGAGAACCTACAAATCTCACTGAATCCATCCTCGAAGCTACTGAAGCAGCACGTAGTACAGTAACAGCATTTTAGGCACCCGATCATAATGTTTTGCTTTGGTTAGTGTATAAACAGTAATTAAAATGACTTTTCTGATATTTACTTATTTCGTTCTCAGTTTATACAGTATATAATCATGGAGTTAGCACAACGTAGAGACCTGTTAGAGATAATTAAGAGAAATAAAACAATAGACAAAGAGAGAACTTGTCGTTGGTTTCATCATTTAATAGACGGCATCGACTATTGCCATAATAAAACCAGAGAACAAAAGGATTTATATTCCGGAAATTCGAGCGGACAGTTGGTACCAAAGAGAATATGACCAAAAATGTGATGAAGAAGTACAAAAAGCATGACGAATTTCTTACTACGACAAAATATAGATGCAAAAGTCAGAAGATAAATGCGAAAACTCTAAATAATTAACACCAATTTTCATAAAATATACAGAATTATATTTGATATGATAAACTGACTTTTTCCTATTTTGCAATGTATTTAACTTACGTTAGATCTAGTTCAAATTACATCACTCAAGAACAGAAATTCTTATATTCGAAGTTCTGTTATTAAGTGAATTATTTGTTAATTACCATGAAACCATGATTTAAAACTATAACAGTTATTAAACAACATTAATAAACTATATGAATGCGAGGCATTTAAGTCTGAGCGTATGTGTTAAAGTATTTATTTTGTAGTTTCAATTTCATTTATTCCATTAATGTTTGAAAGATGGATCTATCATTATATCATCTAGTTTTCGCTTACATAGGAAGAATAGGAAATGCTCCATTTTCCGGATCAAAAGATGTCCGAAGAGACATCAACATTGCCAAAGCAACAGTAAGAGAACTTCCAGCCTATCTTGAACTTCTTACTTTCAGGAAGACGTCAGAAATTGGCTTTCATCTCCAACTCCTTTTCGTACTCTACGAAAGCCTTTCTCAATTTTGTTGTCTTGGCTTGGGATTCTCCCGCTCTATAAGTTCGAGATAATGCTTTGAAGACTCTGGCGGAAGCACACTCAATTCTTCATTCTGAAGAGGATCATTTCCCTCTTCCTCTCTCTCCTCACCCTTCTCTTCACTTGAAGGCCTTCGTCCAAAAATACTCCCAATCCATCTCCAAAAACTTCTCTTCTTTTCACTCATATTTCTAGAAAATCGCATCGATATAACAATTGAAAAACAATGATAACTTATTGTTGGCGAGCGTCAACAATTATTATCCGCTATCCATAGAACTGTATTAATATTAGGAATTCCTTTTTCACCCTTAATCGGAACTTAAACGAGTAACTTAAAATAATTCTAATACACAAGCCAACAAATTTCTCTCCAATATTTTAAAAAATATAACAATACCTCGAGAGACAAACAAATTTTACGTTTTCATAGCTCTATAAATAAAAAATTTTAATATCTTTGTACGATAAAGATAAAGTCGAACCTCAGGAAAGGAGATCAGGAGGCCCAAATTAGAACGTGCAAACCTACATTCACCTTTGTATCACTGGATGTAACCACTAGCATTCTGGATGAAGAGCAAACGACCTTTCTTCCCTGTACTTTTTACTTGTTAAACCTATTCTGATTGGCTGGTTGAATAAAACATAATATTAAACAATCTGAGGAATGGACAAATGGACGAACATATTCGATTGAATCTTTAATTTTGTATGTCTAATTTTAATGGAATAAAACGTTAATGGAAAAACGAAAATGCTGGATTCTTATGGATCGACACCATGACACAATGAAACTTTCTCTTCATATAGAACAGCATCTCGTCCTGTCAGACTGCGGGAAATATCTCGGCAGAAAAGCATCTTTTTTTAACTATGTCCATGATATAATTTTGGGTCGGGAAAATAAAGGGGGACCCGAGCCGTATCTCGAGTAGGATCGGATTTTAATGACGATTTTACTCCTTATTAAGACTTACAATTTTTTATAGAACCGATTCCCACCCTCAAAATTAAGCTTACATATAATGATTGTTAATAAGACTTTTTGTTAACATTAGTTTAATTAATTCAGTTAATAATACTTATTTTTAAAAAAAAATGACATATTGTTTTTTTAAATATTTTGAAACAATTCACAAAAATAAATAATTTTCAATGAAAAAAAGTGGTATTTCTTTTTCAAAAACAAATTACCCAAAGAGAATGTAGCTTTATTCATAATGTCTGGCCAATTTAATAAATTAATATTTATTAAATTACATGGTTATTTTAGTCATTATTCATAATGGCTGGGCATTATAATGCTTTATTAATCACTTGGTCCATAACACGTATATATAACACGTGTGTATATAACACGTATGTATATAACACGTTATATATCGATCCGAAAACGTGAATATGTTGGCAAACTTTGCCATTTATATTATCATGTAAGACAGGCGTTTTAATTTGCTTACAACGATCAATTCTCTCGAACTAATTCCTCTTTTATCACGCAGCGATCCGTGTAAAAACAAAGTACACTTTCCTTATTATATTCTCACAATACAAAATTTTCAAGTCTCGGTAAGTTAAATCGAAATTAATTAATGAAAATTTATATTTTTCAGTTAATAATTATCTAAATAAATCTTTAAACATTCATCAGAAAAACCAGAAGTGTTGCAAACTTTGTCTGCCAGGAAAGCTATGGCAAATGGCTTTTGGGATCAGATCGGATCGATGGGATCTAATGGACACGCGCACACAGATGATTTTCCACCAGGAAGTGTCTCCTGGGAGGTCTTTCTATGGGAAACTGGCTCTTTATTAGGGCATTAGGTACGTGATGAAAACGTGGAAAATTCCATGTGGCTAAGGTTCGAACCCGTATTCAGTGGTTTTATTTACTAGGCAACTGTCTTTTCGGACAAAATATTAGTAGAATTTGTGAAACGGTACATCACAATCAACTCATAAATTTATCGAGAGACTTTGAAGGAGGTAAGGAAAGCTATTTAGAACAAACGTCACGGATTGTTCAACCCCGGGGTGGTTTTCTTGCATGACAACATCTACTTGCATTATGCAATACATACTCAAATGATTCAATTAAGAACCATTCTCCATAACACCCTGATTTGGTGCCTAGCGATTACTGTCTTTTTTTACGCAGTGATATTGCATCGCTGTGCTTCAATGACGAGGAGTTGCAATCTAGCGTCTAGACGTGGCTGAATTCACAGACAGAATTCAATGAAAATGGTATATAAAAGCGTATTAACCTGTACGACAAGTTTCTCGATTTGTCTGGAGATTATGTTGAAAAATAGTTCAAGATTATAATTTTCAATTGTATGTAACGCCATAAAACTTATCTAACTGTATTGATGTTGCTTCAATAATCAAACGGATATCTCTTGTATTTATATGAAACATTAACTTTTTTAGAAATAAATTAGATTTTAGGATTAAGAGAAAAGTAAATATCATATAAAGTAAAATGTTAATACAGTCGACCCCCCTATAACACTGTTGATTTTTCCGTTTTATATGAATTCCACGTTGTACGAGTCACATAGATTTTACAAATGTGTGTGCCGGGCTGTGAATAGCTCACGTATTTGTAAAATCTAAGTGGCTCGTACAACGTGAAATTCATATAAAACGGAAAAATCAACAGTGTTATAGGGGGGGTTAACTGTATCTCATTTATTTTGTGAAATAATCAGTTGTAAAAGTGTTAACGTATCGTTTATCTGTTATAAGATGTTTTATACACATATTTCTTTCTGTTTCCTTTGTTATTTATATAATTATTTTGTATCATTTTCACATGACAAAGAGGAAAATTTTAAAGAAAATCGTAAAAATACAAGAAATTTTGCAGAATAAAGAAGACAATCAAAAGAAACTTCTCTTATTTAATTCCTCTCTAATTTGGTTAAATAATATGATCGTGTTGATAATCTTCTTCTTTAATCGTAATAAAATGCCAATTAATTTAATGGAAAACACATCGATTAAAATACATTTTCTTAATTACGAATTAAGAAGTTCTACAATATCGTATACAATTATTAAATATTATAAATGAAGTAGAAGTTATTTATTCTCCAATATTATTATGTTAGACGATATTATATAGTTTAAACATTATTTTAAAACTTGGTGTAATGCTTAATGATAGTAGAGAGTTGCCATTGGTATTTTGTATTACAGATATCGTTTGTTACAGTATTTTTCCGTTTTATCTGCTTTCTTGTGTTTGTTTTTCTTCTTCGAACGTAACTAAATCTGCAAAAAACGTTTTAAAAGACATTTATAAGGCTTCTGTTAATAGCAATGACGTATCTGTGCAAGAGGAGTCTTTTCGATTTTATGTGACAGCTCTTCAAGATTTGCCAAAATTTTCTGGTTGGGGTTTGTTTAATGTGGATAACAATCTCTTCGTAACTATTGTTGGCATGATAATTACTTACTGTATTATCATGATTCAGTTCTCGGAGATAAATTAACACAAATACAGAATGTTCCAAAATGAATTTTACTATTTTAAATTACTGCAATTATGTTAATTATTATCTGAGAAATATACAATATAAATCAATTATCTGTCTAAGATTCTCACACTTCCCATCTTGTTGTTTGGTTACTGCTACAGGCAATAGACAGCAAGACGTTTGAATGCAAATGGGACCACCGAAATCAAAGCTCTAGGAAGAGCCATAAACGAAAATGGTGTCTCAGCAATAGAGAAGTTTCGTCTTCTGCAGTTTGCAAAATTGAAATCGTCCATCATTATGCAACGCGAGTAATCTGCAGGAGTCGTAGAATTGTGGTTCTGTGGGAGGAGTGACAACGGATATGCTGTAGCGAGCGTAGAGAGAATTTCAGTATGGATTGGATGCCGTGTGACGAAAGATGTTCGTATTGAAAAATTGTAATGGGCAAATGAGAAACTTAAACAGTTTACCAATGAAACATTAAGAAAATCTGTATTCGTAGTAATTCGATTATTTAAAATGACTGTAAAATGTGTAATAATCGTGTAAAATATTGTTGGTTCTGTGGATTGTTGGTTCTGTGTGTGGACTTGGAGCGACTAATTGGATTTTTTTCATAACGAAGTTCTGGGCAAGGCATCGTGAAAGAATTCATCGTAAGTATGAAAGTATAAATGTTAACGTATTGTATTAGTGGTAAAACGGGATTTATACTTTAATCATCGTATGTCAGGCTCGTATTATATTGCGATGTTGTGTAGTCCGTAGTTTCTGTTGAATTTGATGTTTGTCAGTAACTATTATTTCGTAAGGTTTTTTTCTAATATTAATTTTTGTTAGAATATTATGCAATTCTAATGTATTCGTGTTTTTTTAATTTTTATTGTCTATATCTTAATGTTGCGTAGATGGATAAGTGAGTAATATTTGACTACAGTTTGCGGGTATCAAGTTCTTTTTGTAAAGCTTATTCTTCTAAACGCACTAATAAATTTTTTAAATACATGAATTTAAAGTGTTTTCTAGATATCAAATAACCATAAATGATTTCCATAACTTCTCTTTTAAAATAGGAATAGTTATGTTTAATTATAATTGCTAATATTTATTATAAAAAATCTATAGCAATATAATAAAGACTAGTTTCCATGTTAAACAATTTAGAATATTTATCATGCATCATATGTTGCTGCCCACCAGTGACTGAGTGGACAAAACCTACTGAACATGTGGGTTTGTTCCTTGTCAATAGGCTGACCCCAGATTATCTTGTAACAATCTAAATAGGAGCTGTTTTTCCATAAAGTTCTCCCAGGGGGCATCCCCCTCAACAGATCACCTGTGTGCCATGTTACCACATACATATATATAAAAAAAACAAACAAGCATGCTGCTGTGCCAGAAAAATTGCTGTGTAATTTCCATTATATCACAATAGATATGTTTTTACTATAGGAAAACTTAATCCACTAAACTATTATATAATATTATGTTTTGCTATAAATTGATTTAATGAATTAATGCATTTTAAGAATCTGCAGTTTTGCTTAACATAATGAAGAATGAATCCAAGCTTTTACTTGGTGTAATAGAAAAATGAACAGACAAATACATAACATTTATATTGTTTTATTTACAAGATTTAACTGTGCTTATTATTAGATATAGGTTCTCAAGTTTTTATTACATTCTCTTCTGACAAATTGGTTAATAAATCAAACTTAAAAAATAATTGTAATAGGAGTCTATATAATACCACATATGTAATGTTTATAGTGTAATTAGAAACTAACTTGTCATATTAACACAAAGATTAACAGAAACATGCTATCAGACAGACCATTCAAAGCCATCAAAAATCATACTATTATTAATTCACACTATTATAAATGAAAGTTAGAGTGACTCCCTAAATGAGTAGCTCTGTATAAAATTAGTTTCACTTCTGCTTTTTGGAGCTAATGGCACAAACCTGAGTTATAGTTAAACATGAATAAACTCATGAGTCATTTATATAGTGTATGTGTTTATTGCTCATTTTAGTATTAAATTTAATATTTGTTATTTCACATTAATAGCAAATGCAATTTGTTTGGACTCCAAAATATTTTTGATTATCGGATATCTCATATAAAACTGGCCCCATTCACTGATTGAATAAAACCTGGGCTGGTAGTGCAAACTTCCATAACATTTCGTGAATAAAACTAACAAGGGAAAGACACTGTCATGGTGTCATATTTCAATGAGCATTAATATTGTGAATGTATGCCAAAAGTAATTGATTCATGTTTTCAGCATTTCATCTAGTGGACCCTAGTTTCCAAAATATTGTTTAAAATTGGGACTTTGTAGTTCTATTAGCATATAAACTATGAGATAAAATGTGTCATTTGTGGAAACATAGTAAAGCTTGTGGCTTCTGCTCTACTTTTATTTATATACATTTTTTGTACATTACATGGATGTACTGCACAGTATGTTGGAAGATGAAGCATGCAATGACATAACGTTGTAAATGAAAAAAATCAAACTTTTCAGGAGAGGTAAATAACACCTTTTTTCTAGTGAATGAATTTATTTCAATTTTACAATAAAATGGTAAAATCTCACTAGGTTACAAATTTTCTGGAATATCAAAATTATGTAAATGTAAGCTGTAATGTTTTTAAGTGCCAAAAGTCACATAACTTGCACATTAAATGTTATGGCTTCATATAAATTCAACTTCGAAATACAGCCACTTACAGCACCGCTGTTGCCACGATATGTTTTGCAGCAGAAAACACTGCATTTAGAATTCAATTCTTCATTAAATGTATTTACAGAAAAATGGAATTTATAATGTTGTGGCATTGCATGCTTCGTATATCATTAACGTGCAAAATAAATATTTGTTACAATGAATATGATTCATTGAAAAATGAATAACTGTAAAATGCTATTATATCTATAAATACAAAAGTAAAGTTTAGTTAGGAGTACGTTAATTATTCCTAGATAAAGCTACTGTAGAAACAATTTGAAAATATTTAAGTTAAATATATGTAATATTTTTCATTTAGGTTCAATGCAGATGCCACCACCTCCATTACATGGTGCCCTGCAACCTAGTTCTGTGGCTCCACCAATAAGACCACCTTCATCAGGACCATTACCATTTCCACCTGGACATCCTCCACCTCCACCTCCTCCTCCACCACCACCACCATCAGGTAAGTTCTGACATCATTGAAAAATATTTAAACTGGCCTTATAAGCAAATTAATAAAAATGATTAGGTGGTATACCACCTCCACCGCCAGTACCTCCACCCGTGTCGAGTTATGCAGGCATGCCTCCACCTCCACCACCACCAACCGTTCCTCCTCCTCCACCACCTCCACCCAGTACTAGTTCTTCTCAGATACCAGTACCTTCCAGTAATGAACCCGGACCTGGTGAGATGATGCAACAAAGACAGGTATCACCCGCTATGCCACCACAACCTATGGGTAAGTTTTTAAGTATTTTCTGTAGAATACTTTAACAAATATTTTTAAAACTGATAAATTGAAAAATTTTTAGGAATGCCGCCACCACCGCCCCCACCACCATTCCAGGGAGGAGGTATGCCTCCTCCGCCACCACCCGGAATGCGACCACCCCCACAAATGAGCATGAACTTTGGACCCAGACCGCCACCTTTTGGTATGTATTATGTTTACATTTTTTTTAATGTTTGTTTTATATCCAAATTTATCAATAAAAGTATTTCTAAGTAATAGAGTATAATAGTGCAATATAACATCTTTAAATAAATGTATAACAGCTTAAAAAACTGTCATCTGGATCCGTCCTGGATCCAGATGACAGTTTTTTAGGATTGTTCGCTGTCACATTCGAATATCTAGCACAGGTTCTCGGAAACAAAGAGAACATTTTGCAATTAAGCAGTTCACAATTCTTGCGTTCGAATATTCCCATCTCTAGTTTGAATCATTCTAGACTAAGCTTAGTAATAGTTTTTCTTTACGTATATAAGTGATTTTTTTTATTATAAAAATGAACTGCATGATATTTATCTGATGTAGTTTAAAGAACCTGTTCAAAACAGGAAAAAAATACAGGTGGCCCTCAGTTTACGCCGCAGTTCCGTTCCTACAAAAGCCGGCGTAAAACGAACCCATACAGTAGATCCTCCTATAAGACGGTAGATACGTTCCGTTCTTTATGAATCAATTTTGTAGGAATCATAGTTTACGGACTACGGCTGTTTGAAAGGTTTTCTTTCATAAAATTAATCGATTCTAGACTAATTCGACTCAACATTTCCAAAATACGTATATTTTTTTGAAAATAATCCGTATAAACTACGTTATAAACAAAAAATTGTAGGATTGCTTACCGAGTGTGTACCGTTCGACTACGCCCGTTGCTAAAGCTTGGTTTCGTCGCGGAACAGCGCATCAAACCGCGGCCGCGATTTCTGATATTATTTTTCTGCGAAAACTTCGTTGACCTTTGGAGACATCCTTAATATAAATAATTTTTATGGCCGTTAAATAAGAAATGTTTCTTTCACAAGAAATGTATAAAATTACAGTACTGGACAGACGATAGGTCGCCTAACTCGCCGTAGCGTGACGCTAGACGGCGAAAAATATATATTTAATTATAATAAAGTTACAATAAATTAAGTTAATATATAATTATATATACAGTACCTAATTTATATATAATTAATATATAATTATATGTACAGTACCTAATTTATATATAATTATATGAACAGACGATACTAAACTCAATTTATCCGCCTAAACGTCCGTAGCGTGGCGCTACGGACGGCGGGAAAGTAGTTCGGCTGCCCGATGACGTTTTAAGTATTATAGGAGTTATTTTTACCGTTGTTTACGGATACTGCCACAATTTTTATAGGAATCATAACTATAGGAAACGGTTTTATAGGGGGATCTACTGTATTTACACTGAGATATAGGGTTAGGTTCCACTATAGTTGAAAGGATACAGCTACGGACGAGCGGCGACAGTGGAAAATTAAGGAGGGAGAGATATCGTCTGGTCAACAAGAAGTAATTTGTCTCACTAACGATAGTTTGTGATCGCCGGAAGTGCTATTGTGTCGTAAGGTGTTTTCCTGAACGAACTGATACGAAATAAATTCAATGGCGCTATGGATTTGGACGCCATTTATTGGACTATTTTTAAGTTTGATAACTTGACTCGTGGGTACCTAAACGTTTTAGTATTTTAATATTAATTTTATGCAAATGTATACATACCCTATAATATTAAACAGAGAAGAAATAAATATATTCAATAAAAATCTTTGTTTTAACGAATGTACAATGTCGCGGCTCGGTAAATATGTCAACACTGAAATCTTGTCAACACTGAAATGTCAACACTGAAAACACTGAATCTTGCTTTAGGAACAAAATAACGGTAAATAATATACAATTTTTACTGTTAATTTTTGTTATACGTCAATGTAAATTTTAACTACATGTGTTCCGTGGTTTTATTTACTGTGGCATTTATATATAGCCCATTAGGGCAATGTAAAAATTGAAAATACAGTAGTTCCTGGTTAACTTGCACTTAATCACTATTGATATATTAATTGTATAATTCAGTTTGCAAGACTTATTTGTATATGTAGTATTAAATACTCGATTCTGCCCCTGGTTATTAATTCCGTAAAGACTAATGTTAACAATGGCCTTGTGGCTGTATTTACAATACGTGTTCACGTGATTTATATTTCTGTGACATTTGTTGCAACCGTTATCACAAATACAATTTAATTTCAAATCGTCCGCTAGCGTGTAACACTCAGAACCAATAGATTTTTCCATAGAGGAAACAATTCCTTACGTATTGCTTTACTCCTGTTGTTTTCCTTAGCATGACAATTATTCTCTCCTTTTTCCGACCCCTTTCCCCAATACACTTCCCCGAAGAGGGTCTTTTAATTAGCCGCACTCATGATGGGTATGACTAAGTTCACAACGAGATAGCACCAGTGACCGAATGAATAAAACCACTGAACCAAGTGAAGTTTTCCGGGATTTTCCTCAAATCTAATACATAAGGACCAATTTTTTATAGAAAGTAAGTACTCTTGTGAGTTGCCTTTCCCACTTTACACTTACGAACTTCATATATTATTCACAAATGTGTGTGGAAAACATAAAACACGTTTAATGAACTTTTGGGCCACCCCTAAATTAATTAATCAATTAATTGTGTCAAGGAAATTTAGACTAGACCATATGTTATAACATCCGAATCGATTCACTTTATTGTAGGTCTAAAGTCTAGACCAGTGTTTCTCAACCTCCAACGAATCGACGCCCCCTTCAACGTAGTATCGTCCCCTTCACTTCAAAATTCCGATGCCGAGGGCCAAGGCTAACGCCAAATTCTTACTGCATTGAATAGACTAGTGACTAGTATAATGTTTTGTTTAATTATTATACGATATAACGAATAAAATATCTAATTATTCTTAATATAATGTTTTACTATATCGCCCAGAAAATTGTTTTTTGCCTCCCCAAAATATAAATTGTTACAAATCGCCCCCTCAACATGGAAAAACGCCCACATGGGGGACGACATCGCCTCATGTGGGCGTTGAGAAACACTGGTCTAGACGAATCCATATTGTGCTTGATTAAGAAGACCCTCTTTACTTATTGTAGCACCTGCTAATTATCAATTACTGTAATTTTTTATTGCAGCCGCTGGAACATTGGATACCCCCTTCCTCCCCCATGAATGGTTTAAAAAGTCTGATTTGACAACTGTAAACTTACGTTAAGTAACCGAATGGATAAAACCAGTGAACACTTCGCGGGTTTAAGTCTAGACCAACGGGATGGCCACTCAAATTTTCTTCACGTGTATAACATCCAAACACGGGCTAGTTTTCCATGGAAAATACTCCCGGGAGAAGTTCCTCTTAACTGTTCACCCAAATGTTAGATTGCCTTATTCCATCAGCCCAATCCAAACTCCGAAACCAGGCTCTTAAGCATCCCGGACACCGTGGGCATGTGCCCATGGTACCCAGGATGTTACCGTTACTGCTTTAATAGATATAAAAGAAATTGTTTATTTTATTCATTCTTGCACCCTTCTATAACAGCTGTGGCACAGTTATAGGAGCAAAAAACTACATGCTTAGAGCAACATATTTTACGTAAAATAATAAAAATAATACATAATTTTCACCCTTAATTTAATTATAATAATAATCTTTTATGTAAGATGACTGTATATAATATGTGGATACAAAATAATGTCTGTGATGACATTATGTATTGATTCGAATACAGATGAATATGTTAGCAAACATTGGCATTTTGCTATTCATGAAGACAAGCATTTTAATAAAGGGAAATTTACTCACAACGATCAATTTTCTCGAATTAATTTCCGCATTAACACGCAGCATACAAGGAGGTGAAAGGAAGAATAACAAAATACATTTTCGCTTATTATATATTCAATGTTTAAAACTCTTCAATTTTTGGTAAGTTTTCAATCACAATTTCTAAAAAGTTGTATGAGATTTTTCAGTTAAAGTACCCCAATTTAACACTGTCTAAAAGTTGTTTATCAGTCTAAATGCCACCAGCAAATTTAATATGGTGGCATATTATTACGTGCTGAAGACGTTTTCGTAAACAAAATTAGCTCCAAAGCTAACAATTATGGCACTTTTGGCGTTGCAAGTAACAAATATTTTATTTGTACAAGATAATCATTCCGCACGGAAACCTTAGCAATGTAAAATAATGGTGCTTAGTATGGTCCCCATTCTGAAAGTGTAAAATCTGAACACAAAGAATAGTGTGTTCAACCGGTGATCGTAACGGATTCTTTTTGATGCTTCTCACAAAGAGTGTGTTACTGCCTTTCAAGCTGTCAAATTTGCAGCATGGTCTCATATACAGCAATTTTTAAATGGTTAATTTTGGATGAAACATCACTAACTCCAAGCACTGATTTTGCCACAAGTACTAATAATACATATTACAGCGAAGTAATACAGTATTACCAAATCATATAGACTCGGCCACTCATTATGTTAAGTTGTATATTTACAAGGTGAAAACAGCCTATTGCATACTTTTATACTAACAACTCAACATATGGTTCAGTTTTTAAAAATATAATTAAAGGATAAAATATAAGTACGTGTATTTATATTAGGTAGATTCTATTTAATGCAGCCATTAATTTTATTTTTGTTTAAAGGGCTGCCATTTAAATTTCAAAACAATAAGATACATTAAGAAATAAAGTTTCTCTCGTGTTTCACTTAAGCTAGAACTTAAATATATTTAATGTACTTCATAACTTTCATAATGTAAATGTAAATGAAACAAAAGATTATTAATTAAATGCATTTTATATTATTCAGTTAAATTATAAGAAGAGAGATTCCTCATCAACGTCAACATATATTTCGAAATGGTAAAGATAATCTACTATAATGTTAAAAATTGAAATATTGAATTGATGCAAAAAAGTTTCTGGAATTTTCTAGAATTTTCTATTTTATAGTAAAACATTTATTTAAGAAAATAATTACCATTACATTCAAGCATATTCCTCCATAGATTGGCAAGTCACGGATTTCTACTGACTAAAACTCTGACTTTTGACTCTAAGAGAACTCTGCAAGTAAGATTTTCATCTTCTCATCATCAGCCAACTTCTTTCCATTTAATTAAGAAATGTTTTATGGAGCTGAAGAGATGGTAGACGGAAGGTACAATGTCTGGGCTATACTGGAATCTCCTAGCTAAAATAAAGCAGCTTCTGCCTGATCACCCCATCATAAGTGTGGCCTTCTGTTGCCATTAAGAAACCCCGCAATGTTCATCTGTAAACGGAATACAATGAACTAATCACAACCAAGTATCTTGCTAAATTCTCGCGTGGTCAGGTGTGAGTTGGATTGGCTTCCATCAGCTTCAGCAGCACGTCATTCAATAGGGCGAAAGGATTACTTGATCGTGGCTTATCTTCGGCTTCATATAACCCAGCATTAAATTTACCCAAGAAAATTCTAAAAACTTTTGCATCAATCCAATAATATTAGTATAACTTATTTATTTAATTGTGTATCATTGTTTATTTCTTTGTAGCAATCCGTTATTCAGAAAAATTTCAATTCTGCGAGAATATTCATTGCTAATACAGAAGCTGAAGAAAGCGGCTCTGAAATGTTTGAGAGCGAATGGAAACCTTTACTAAAATGTATGAATTTCTTCGGTTTGACTTTCAAACAGAGAAAATCTCCCCGTATCATTTTTATGTTGTTCGGAGCAAAAGTATTTCCTGCTTTCTTTCTTTATTTAACCATATACAAAATATTAACTGATCGTCCTTCTATTATCAAATGCTTTATATACGTATTTATATTTATTTCCTTTATGATTTATTTATATATTTTATATCATTTTCACATCAAAAAGCACCAAATTTTAAACAATATCGAGAAAATATATGAAATTTTAAACAAGAAAGACGTTGTAAAGAAAGTTCTATACCTTAAATGCTTTCTAATTTGTCTTGATAATACAATCCTTCTGCAGATTTTCTATTTTAATCGCAATAAAATGTTATTTAAATTAGATGGAACAACTACGATCCGAACGAATTTCATTAATTATGAATTGCAAAATTCTACAATTTCGTATATTTTTGCATGGTTTTTTTTCTTATTTCTATTTATTCAAAGTAATTTAATGGTCCTTTTCTTTTCGAATATTTGCAAAAAGTTCGAAAGTTCTTTAAACAAATTAATTTTTAATCGTATAGGCAAAAGAGAAGATATTAATTTAGTAATGAATAAATATACACAGTTGTTAGATACTATACACCACATAGAAGTTATTTATTCTCCAATATTATTCTGTTGGACGATCTTGTTTACTTGCAACGTTATATTCAATATCGGTTTTATTCTTAATGAAGATGCAGAATTGTATTTTTATATAATGCATTTCTTTTGTTATTCGGTATTTCAATTTTATTTGTTTTCTGATGTTTGTTTTTCCACTTCAAGCTTAAGTAAAACAGCTAAGAATGTTTTAAATGCCATTTATAAGGCATCCGTTGATGGCAACGACAGGTTTCTAAAAGAGGAAACTTTTCGATTTTATATGAGAGTTCTGCAAGACATGCCGAAATTTTCTGCTTGGGGATTTTTTAATGTGGATAATACTCTATTCGTAACTATTGTTGGTATTATAATCACTTATAGTATTCTTATGATTCAATTTTCAATAATGAATGAATAATCTATGTTTTAAAATATATTTGTCTTTATTACATATGTATAAACTCTAATAATAATCCTATAAAAGTTGATAAAACTAAGAACAAAGATGTAAATGAAGAAAACTTGAAAGTTGTGTCATAAGATAACTGGAACCATATTTAACAATAAGACTCAACGTATGAATAAAATGCACATTTCTCAGATTAAATCAAGCATCATTATAGAAATAAAGGCTATTGCAATTTCTTCGTTATCTTCTGTAGTAGTTCATCCCTTTTATGTAATATAAAATTAGTGATTATATAAGTAATGTGCTTCGAAGTACTACAGTATAATACTTATGTAATCACTTTAAGTGAGTACGAAGTAATGAGGACTAAATATGTGCTGCTGTTACATTATGTAACTATCAATACACGGGTAGTTGGAGCACTCCAGTGACTGTTTAGACTGCCGGATAAAAAAACATCATTTCAACTGAATATAAAAGATTAATAGAAATACATACGCTTGTAATATTTGAATATCTTATATTCAAAGTTAATGTAAATACAGTAGAGCGTCGATTAACCGAATCAATTGGGGACTGGGATTGTTCGGATAACTGGTATTTCGGATAACAGATTATGTACGAAAAATTTGTTCAATGTATCCGATGTTGAAATTTTTCTCCGTTGCGTGTCGCTTTGCGTTGAATTTTCGTCGATGTTAAACCTAACGAAGACTATTGTATCGTTAAAAATTATTTTTTTATTTTGTACAAACAAAATAAATATATTGAAAAATATAAAAACAATAAAAAATTATACTTCAAAAGTTAATTTAGTATCAAAAACGTAAAATATTTGAGTAGCCCAAGATTGCAGCGCCACAGCACTAGCAAAAATCTAAATTTTTCGATTGGCATTCTTTCGGATAATTGACTTCGGATAATCGACGCTCTACTGTATTATAAAAATATGCATTTTTAAAAATATTTTTAATAATTTATACATTTATCATAGTTCATATTTGTATATAAACAAAAATTTCATTATTAAACTTTTATTCTATTTAACTTATTATACTATAATGTAATTTTAAGATGTCTGAAGTATTAATTCATCAAGATGTCGGAAGTGTTAATAGCATCCGAAGTATCCTGTAATTAAAAAAGGTAGATTTAATTTTCAATAAAAAAAAGTAATAATTTAAATCTGTTGTAGTTTATTTTCAATTTATTTGATTATTAAAATCTAAACGTTTGTTACTTTAATTCATTATTTACTGAATCTGCAGCTTCCAAATTTCAAATAGATAAAATTCATACTTAATACCTGGGCGAACAAAAATTTCCGTGAATTTTTCATGAACCGTCGGTTTTGTTCCTCACTACTCGGACACTCACTTTGTGGGCCTGGCCTATTCCAAGATGAGTAAATCAGTATTAAAAAAAGGCCTTCTTAGTACCCATAAAAATATAATTAAAAAGAAAACGCATTTCACACCCATTTTATTCTGACAACAATAATGATGTATAGGAAATATAAAGTAATTTGTCACATTATTTTATATTACATTTTGAAAAGTCGTAATGTAAACAAACCGTTTTTACTTGTTTTTATAGATAAACTTTGTTTTATTATTGTTATTATTAAGAATGTATACACAAGAACTTGTAATAAAGAAATGTAAAGAGAAATAATGACTTTCTCGACATTATTTGCAACAAAATCAATCGATGAAGTGTATTTTTTATCAAAGGCTCCATGAACTAACAAACCTTCAATATTTCTCGTAAGTTAATACAATTTTTTGTAGTTTCTTTAATATGTTAATTACAACACAAAATTTAAAACATTTTACATTTTGTATAAAATTTATTCTTCGTTTATATTTCAAATGTTTAAATTCTGTTAGCTTAGAATTAATTGTCTTACTAATGCACTTTAACGGAAATATGATTGTCGTTATTTCTTATACAGAATGATAACAAACCTCACTGACATAATAAATGATAACAAACCTCAATGGCCTTTTATATTAAAAATTAATAGGGCAATTACTTAGACCCTTTTGCAATGCATAATATGCTAAACACTGATGCCAGTTTCCATCCTTTCCAGTTCTTCTATCGAATAGGGTTGCTGTAACCTCAGTCTCTAATGGAATAGGGAAATTAAGTTGTAGCATTTGAAAAATATTTGGTTTTATTGCATTCGAAATATCATGTAGTATCTTGGAAGTCTGTTAATTAAATTTGACAGGTGAATTACTTCGCTGCTCAAGGGGCTAGCGGCGCTTCACTGAATACAAAAATACAATGCGGGTTTATGTGCGATTACTTTAGCTTAGCAGTGATAAAGATATGCAAATAATACGATTTAATATACAATATCAAACGCTGTAAAATAAAACAGAGCTAATCTAATTATCACATCATTACTAACTTAAACCTAACTGCCCGTTTAACCATTCTCACATTGCAATTTTGTTATGCAGGGATGCCTTTATTTATCATATTTGACAGTTCGTTCCGGGTACCTATTTCGAATAATTCAGATTATACTGAAAGTTAATAATACGTATTTTTTCATGTGCTATAAGATTATAATTGACATTGTTTCCCTATTTTCTTTACGGGCTGAGATACAAAATTCAAAAGTCACTTGCAGAGACGTTCGAATGTCACCGGATTCGTACGACCCGAGCTACTAATGTCGCCTTGTATCAAGTAATGTGCCAATAAAATTTCATTCCCAGAACTTTTTTGGTGTGTTGATTTAAATCAACCAGTGAAAACGCAGGTGACTAACGAGATGTATTTTGCGGGCTCTGACGAAGAATGAATCAGCCATTTTACTAATTTTAAAATTAATCATTTAAGCCATTAATTTTAATATTTATATGCCAATGTAATCATCTTTAATCTGGGCCCAAAGAAGACATCTTGTTACTCACACGTGTTAAACACTTTTCGGCGGAATAAAGTGAGAAAAAAGTAACGGAAACTACCGAAATGATACTCACGTAATCAAATATATTTTTTTAAATAGTAGTATACATTGCATTGGAATAAAACTTTCATAGAAAAATATATTAAATTAACAATTTAAATTTGCTTATATACAGGGGTTATAATTAAACTGACCGTATTCAGAGAAATTTCAGCAACGTGGCGTGTAACGCTGGCTTTCAATTCAGCTAGCGACCTAATCTTCCTATAATGTTATTTTTAGGAATCCTTACAACCAGACACTGGTCTAGTTCTTGAATAATATTGTGAACTGGAGGCTCTGTCAACCACTGCAACAGCGACTTCTTTAACAATTTCTTCCCGGCAGCACATACCCAAGTCTTTAGTCTCTTCAAATTTCATAATCATGTTTTTCGAACCATTCTTTGACATGGGTCCCTTTTGCAATCGTTTTAAATGTCAATATTCTCGCAGTACTGCTAAGCTATTGCTACCATTATGACAAAACAGTTTTACCAGCAATGCTCTCACTTTCATCTGTAAGGGCATGATTAACAATAACATAAAAGCATACGTAAACACCAAGTTTCATCAAAATCCGATAAGCAGAACGGGCTCTACATGGGTGTGAATAAGATCAGTTTACTTATAACCACACTGTATATTGCATTTATAACTCTTTTCTCTTTATGGACATTAATTGCCAAGGCCATCCGACTGTCTTTTAACCCTTATTTTTATTCTTTTATATAGAAAATTACGTAAAGCGAATGGTAAAGGAAACATTTCCAGTTTATCAATATATATTCAAAAAGTAAGTAAGCACTATTTAATTAAATATTTAGTATATTAAAACATTTTGTAAATTTTAATATAATGTAATTATATTCAGTAACAAGAAAATGAATAAAGTTCAAGTATTTTCATCTCAAGATGAATCTGAAAGCAATGGAGACAACTTGCAGGGTCATTGGAAGCCATTAATGCACTCACTTTGTGGGCCTGGCCTATTCCAAGATGAGTAAATCAGTATTAAAAAAAGGCCTTCTTAGTACCCATAAAAATATAATTAAAAAGAAAACGCATTTCACACCCATTTTATTCTGACAACAATAATGATGTATAGGAAATATAAAGTAATTTGTCACATTATTTTATATTACATTTTGAAAAGTCGTAATGTAAACAAACCGTTTTTACTTGTTTTTATAGATAAACTTTGTTTTATTATTGTTATTATTAAGAATGTATACACAAGAACTTGTAATAAAGAAATGTAAAGAGAAATAATGACTTTCTCGACATTATTTGCAACAAAATCAATCGATGAAGTGTATTTTTTATCAAAGGCTCCATGAACTAACAAACCTTCAATATTTCTCGTAAGTTAATACAATTTTTTGTAGTTTCTTTAATATGTTAATTACAACACAAAATTTAAAACATTTTACATTTTGTATAAAATTTATTCTTCGTTTATATTTCAAATGTTTAAATTCTGTTAGCTTAGAATTAATTGTCTTACTAATGCACTTTAACGGAAATATGATTGTCGTTATTTCTTATACAGAATGATAACAAACCTCACTGACATAATAAATGATAACAAACCTCAATGGCCTTTTATATTAAAAATTAATAGGGCAATTACTTAGACCCTTTTGCAATGCATAATATGCTAAACACTGATGCCAGTTTCCATCCTTTCCAGTTCTTCTATCGAATAGGGTTGCTGTAACCTCAGTCTCTAATGGAATAGGGAAATTAAGTTGTAGCATTTGAAAAATATTTGGTTTTATTGCATTCGAAATATCATGTAGTATCTTGGAAGTCTGTTAATTAAATTTGACAGGTGAATTACTTCGCTGCTCAAGGGGCTAGCGGCGCTTCACTGAATACAAAAATACAATGCGGGTTTATGTGCGATTACTTTAGCTTAGCAGTGATAAAGATATGCAAATAATACGATTTAATATACAATATCAAACGCTGTAAAATAAAACAGAGCTAATCTAATTATCACATCATTACTAACTTAAACCTAACTGCCCGTTTAACCATTCTCACATTGCAATTTTGTTATGCAGGGATGCCTTTATTTATCATATTTGACAGTTCGTTCCGGGTACCTATTTCGAATAATTCAGATTATACTGAAAATTAATAATACGTATTTTTCATGTGCTATAAGATTATAATTGACATTGTTTCCCTATTTTCTTTACGGGCTGAGATACAAAATTCAAAAGTCACTTGCAGAGACGTTCGAATGTCACCGGATTCGTACGACCCGAGCTACTAATGTCGCCTTGTATCAAGTAATGTGCCAATAAAATTTCATTCCCAGAACTTTTTTGGTGTGTTGATTTAAATCAACCAGTGAAAACGCAGGTGACTAACGAGATGTATTTTGCGGGCTCTGACGAAGAATGAATCAGCCATTTTACTAATTTTAAAATTAATCATTTAAGCCATTAATTTTAATATTTATATGCCAATGTAATCATCTTTAATCTGGGCCCAAAGAAGACATCTTGTTACTCACACGTGTTAAACACTTTTCGGCGGAATAAAGTGAGAAAAAAGTAACGGAAACTACCGAAATGATACTCACGTAATCAAATATATTTTTTTAAATAGTAGTATACATTGCATTGGAATAAAACTTTCATAGAAAAATATATTAAATTAACAATTTAAATTTGCTTATATACAGGGGTTATAATTAAACTGACCGTATTCAGAGAAATTTCAGCAACGTGGCGTGTAACGCTGGCTTTCAATTCAGCTAGCGACCTAATCTTCCTATAATGTTATTTTTAGGAATCCTTACAACCAGACACTGGTCTAGTTCTTGAATAATATTGTGAACTGGAGGCTCTGTCAACCACTGCAACAGCGACTTCTTTAACAATTTCTTCCCGGCAGCACATACCCAAGTCTTTAGTCTCTTCAAATTTCATAATCATGTTTTTCGAACCATTCTTTGACATGGGTCCCTTTTGCAATCGTTTTAAATGTCAATATTCTCGCAGTACTGCTAAGCTATTGCTACCATTATGACAAAACAGTTTTACCAGCAATGCTCTCACTTTCATCTGTAAGGGCATGATTAACAATAACATAAAAGCATACGTAAACACCAAGTTTCATCAAAATCCGATAAGCAGAACGGGCTCTACATGGGTGTGAATAAGATCAGTTTACTTATAACCACACTGTATATTGCATTTATAACTCTTTTCTCTTTATGGACATTAATTGCCAAGGCCATCCGACTGTCTTTTAACCCTTATTTTTATTCTTTTATATAGAAAATTACGTAAAGCGAATGGTAAAGGAAACATTTCCAGTTTATCAATATATATTCAAAAAGTAAGTAAGCACTATTTAATTAAATATTAGTATAGTAAAACATTTTGTAAATTTTAATATAATGTAATTATATTCAGTAATAAGAAAATGAATAAAGTTCAAGTATTTTCATCTCAAGATGAATCTGAAAGCAATGTAGACAACTNATTTATATCATTCCGTGGTATAAATAATAAATTCGTATCAATAATAAATTCCTATTACAAATAAAAATAATTTATTGTTAATTTAAAATCTTCGCTAGGGCGCCTCTAGTGCCCGTTTTTTTCATACCGTTATGCGGACGGATACAGGTTCAATGGGTTATATATATAATGTATTAGCGCTTCGAGCGATTCTGTTGAAAATAATGCCGTGAAACTCGTTATTTGTGTTTACATTTTTTTACTAAAAGTTCTTACGTACACATTTAGGCATTCATTCCGCAGTTTATCAATACCTTTCGTAGAACTACTTTTCAAAATGAAAGATTCACAATAAATTTTATAGTTTTCATATGTTTACATTGTGCAGAATATAAAACAGATGAGAAATGAATTTTGAAATATAGCTTAAACTGAATCTCCTTCAACTCTGATGCTACTGTTTGCAGTTTGTGTAATGTAAAAATTCATGTGAATATGAAAAAAGAAATGTATTCTTATTTTAACACATATTTCTCTACTTTACTAGTTGGTTTATTATAATATTAGGTGTTTTCGAGATACAATGCCAATATGACAAGGTGCACGCAACTCTCTCTTATTGCAGTTGCGTCTGGAAATCGCTAAGTGTGATCACTACTAAAGACATTATGTTCCTCATAGATGAAATTAGCAATAGCTTTCAACGTTATCTGCCAACTTTTTCCAATTATCCTTTTAATATCTTTGACTATTGTGTTATGTTTTTGAAGTGTTGAATTGATGCTGTAGACCCCTCTTCAAGTATCCTAGTGTTTCTATATTTAGCAACTATGTGTCGAGTTGTATTGTAATTTAAAAACAGCCGTTGTCTAGCTTCTTTAATATTTAATCCAGCTGTCCGTTTTCTTCCAATGCTGGCAAGAAATGCAAATGAATCTGTTGACACGTGTTTTAGTAAACGAGAAAACTTATGAAATATTTCATTAGGTTAATAAAATATGTTGATATTTTAAATTGATAAAATTTATATCAAATTTGTTGCTTAGGTATCGTAAATTGTTTTATGTAAATTTTATAAACGAGGTACGTAAATTAACTCGAAGCGTTTGCAGTAAAAATAAGTCGAAAGTGTTTGCTGTTGATAAGTCACGAAAAATGTTATAAATGAAATATTTTAAAAGTTTTATTTATTTTTGTCTGAAAATAAAGTAGTGTCGTTAATCTGTTTCCGCCAGAGAGATATTGTTATAAAAAGTCACAAAACGGCACTGGTAGTATTGTTCTGTGGATTGTTGGTTCTGTGTGTGGACTTGGAGCTACTAATTGGAGTTTTTTTTTCATACCGAAAACTTACAAGAGTTCCGTGCAAGGCATCGTAAAAGGACTTGTATGAATTCATCATAAGCATGCAAGTATAAATGTTAACGTATTGTGTTAGTGGTATTATAGGGATTTATAGTTTAATCATCGTATGTCAGGCTCGTATTATATTGCGGTGTTGTGTAGTNTAAGAAAATGAATAAAGTTCAAGTATTTTCATCTCAAGATGAATCTGAAAGCAATGGAGACAACATGGCTGACTTACAGAGTCATTGGAAGCCATTAATGATAAATATGAATATTCTTGGCTTAAAATTTGAAAATAAATATTCTTTGCATACTGTCTTCATGCTGTTTGGCGCTACAATGGTTCCAGTTGCCTATGTTTCTTTTGCATTTATAATAATGTACAAGCAATCAATTATAATGTATACGTTTATTTTCCTGTATTTTTCTGTTTCATTTACATTTTACTTCATATTCTTGTATCACTTTCACATCATTAAGAAAAAAATTGTTATTTAATATACTAAATATGTACGAAATTTTAGATAAAAATGAAAATAAGAGTATGAAAAATACGATATTATTATTATTTAGATGTATTTTAATATGGATTTATGCTATAATTCATCTAACATCAACATATTTTATTCATATTGGTACAGAAATTCATTCAAAGGATAAAATTCGAACATTTCAATCGAATTTTATCGGTACTGAAATGAATTCGTCGGTGATTATATTCATTGTAGTGTGTTGTTTTCAATTGTTTTTATGTATGCAAAATAATTTCTTGCTGCTTTTCTTTTCTTATTTATGCAAAGAATTAGAATATTCTTTAGATTATTTACGCAAGAAACTTTTAATATCTGATAATGACGAAAATAAGAAAATTCTTTTCATATCAAATAAGTACACTCAATTGGTAGATATCATAAATCGTATTCAAGATCTTTACTCTCCGGTATTATTCCTTTGGCCAATTGTAATTGTTGGGAATACCGTTTTTGAAATTGGCGTATTTACTCAATTTATAATAAAGCCCAGAGTATTATTTTTTGTATCAGTATTTATTACTTTTTGCATATTTCAACTCTTTTACTTTTGTGACGTATGCTTTTCTTCTTCGAATGTAACTAAAGCAGCCACGAAATTATTAAATGCTATCTACAAAGCATCGTCAGATAGTAATATTAAGCCATTGCAAGAACGCACTTATCGATTTTATATGAGATCCATGCAAGTCCTACCCAAATTTTCCGGATGCGAAATGTTTTATCTGAATAGAAAGTTTGTTGTGGCTATTTTTGGTGTAATTCTCACTTACAGCATTATCATGATTCAATTTTCTAGCTTGTCGTGAATTCGAATTTGAATCTAACTTAATGGAATCATAGTTGAAGAAAATGAATAAATTTCGAAACATAAATAATATTTAAAGATCTTAGTAATTAAACTTATAAATTGTAGTGAATTGCAGAATATTGATAAATAAAATGAAAAGACAGATTTATAATTTTTAATTGGAGCAATTCAAGAATTTGTTTTCAATATAAATATACTTAATGTGCATTATGTCATACCGTTAATTATGTATTTAATGTTGTTTAATCATAATGAGAAAATTATAGTCTACACCATACGTTAATAGAAATGTTAATATTGAATGTAAAATGTATTATTAAGGCAAAACTCTATGCAACTTACAAAAATGTAGTAAATGGAAATTGTATTTTTGTATTTGTTAATAGCGATTATTGTATTGAAATTACATATATTATATAGTTTTATCTCCAATAACAACCATTTTTTTCAGAAAATTTTCTATTTATTTATTCACTTTTTGAACAGAAATGTATAAAAATTATCTTCTAAACAACAGTCGCTTTCGAATAACGGTTGTTTCTTTTGTTTCTGTCTGTGTTCAGAGGGTTGAATGTGGTGTTATTATATGTAGTTTTAATACAGTCTTAAATACTATTTATAGAATACCAGTCTATGTTCTTGGTAACGTTACAATTCATGTAATAATTATAATTATGAAAATTTTATCATTAATCAATAAAAGTCGTGTGGTTTATGTCTCGTACTTGAATATAAAACTTTGTTTCATAGTCGATTTAATTACACAAAGTTTTGTACTATCGAAAATATAGGGGGAAGTAATCCAAATTACTTGCGCCAGTTTTTACACAAATCTTTATAAAATCTTTAAATGGTGTAACAATAGTAATTCAATTATTTCGTAATTTAGACACATATTTATTCTACCACACATACCCACACACATATACACACACTAACATCCATACATACAAAACTTACCACAGACTTTTTTTGGATTTCTCGACATTTCAGGTGTCCTAAATCCAAAATGTAAAAATCTTGGGCATCTTTTTTTTTCACCGATTGCCATACTTTTTCTGTGTCATATATAACAGAGAAAACGTAAAAATGAAAATAAAATATCGATGTAAACCCATTCTACTTAACTTCATTCACGAACACACCTCATTTCATTTAAGAGCCTCGTATACATTTATTGTACTGTACATAAGCGTGTTTCAATTTATGTAAAACTGTTAAATTTCCTTAAAATAGGACAAAATTTTTTCGTGATTTCAGTCGATCTTACAAAAGTATATCTTTGAAAATAATAATGAACTGTAAGTATTAGTACACGCGTCATAATTTAATTATTATTAAAACAATTATAAGAAGAATTTCTAGAAATGTTGAAAAATATAATGAAAAATACAGTATAACAGTAAATAATACACATCGAAAACTCATAAATATAAAGTAATACCGTAAATACAATGTTTTATGATGGAAATGAAATACAAGAAATTATAGTGCAAAATACAAAAGAGATGTAAGAATGACTGTTTTAATACAGTAGAGCGTCGTTTATCCGAATCAATTGGGGACTGGGGTTGTTCGGATAACTTATTTTTCGGATAACCAATTATGTACGAAAAAATATATTAATTTATCCCGTGTTGAAATTTTTCTCCGTTGCGTGTCGCTTCGCGTTGAATTTTCGTCGATGTTAAGCCTAACGAAGACTATTGTATCGTTAAAAATTATTTTTTTATTTTGTACAAACAAAATAAATATATTGAAAAATATAAAAACAATAAAAAATTATACTTCAGAAGTTAATTTAGTATCAAAAACGTAAAATATTTGAGTAGCCGAAGACATAGCCAAAGATTACAGCGCCACAGCACTGGCGAAAATTTAAATTTGTCGACTGGAAGTCCTTGAGATAACCGATGTTTCGGATAACCGACTTTCGGATAAACGACGCTCTACTGTATAACAATCTGCGTTAATGTTTTTTCTTAAGCTCGAAGTCAAAAATCAAAATAATTAAACACATTACTATTTAATATTATAATACTGAGTAATACTATACGATAAACGACATATTCAAGAATACATTTTAATGCTTTCGCTTAACTCCTTTCGGGGGATAAGATTTGAATTGAAATAACGTAATTTCCGGTTTACTTCAGAAGTTCTTATATTGTTAATCGGGGCAAAACATCAGCAGTTTTCATTTCCTGTTCATGATAGAATCTAAATTCTTGCATAAATTTCATAAATGAAATTTGTGAAGTATCCGTACTAAACTGAAACAGTGAATATTACTATGAAATTTATGCAATAAATTCGTACTGAATTTTTAATATGACTGTGTACTTCCTCTGTGGAATTTCTATAGAATTTTAAGTAGATGAATGTAAATTAGTCAATTTTCTCTATTAATTTTTTAATGGTAAACGAAGTTCGTTGATAATGATAGGAAAAGGGGTTGAAGATAAGCTCTAACGTAAATAAAGAATTATTATAGGAAGACATTAAAATAGTTGTAGAATATATAATCCTGTTTAATATTTTAATGCTCTTCTTAAAATGTTCTATCTATTAATTGAGATTTATTGTACAATATTCTTCTAAAATTTAATGTCTAGCAAATAAGTTAATTGATTTATAAAATGTAAAGTCCATTACATTCCCTTCTCATTAAAACTTCATCTTTGGTAATGTCACAGAAGCTCAAAATTACCATCCATTTAGAATTTCCCATTAAAATATCTAGAATATTTTATGTACACTTGTTCCATCATCATTATATTTTCTAATAGAATGCACCAAATATCCTTACCAAATGGAACAGATACAAAAGCATTGATTTCTTCCGTGTTTCATACATTGACGATTGTATATTTGTATAAATAAAACTTACACATTGTTTTTAAATAAATAGTAACTGCATGCCACATATCAATTATATAAAATACAATCGAATCTCAAATAATGGACACTTGTAAACTAGAGTTTTTGGGAAGAATTGTTGAAATGTATACAGATTAATTGTACATAACCACCGTCTCCGAGAACAGTGAGTTTTATGTTTATGCCAGAAAATTTTATTAAAGGTTCGACTTGTATTTATATGCATTGTCAATATAAAATAGAATTATATCAGTTTTAAACAACTGTGATTTTGAATATAAGCTGTTAAATGGAATAAAATGACTCTTTATACATGTCAATATTGTTGTGATATGTGTGAAAATGTATGACGATTTACAAATTTCCATGAGGCACGGTTCCTTTGACTATTTTGTTCCTATCAATATGCTCTACAGCTCCGTTAAAGTCCCAATGGTAAGATTTACCCTCCGAATGAAGGGGTGGCAACCCCCCAAACTGTAGCCCCCTGAGCGAACAATAAAGTCAAAGGTAGCATATCCCTTTGCGAGATATAAGCCCTTCAAAATTCGCCTACGTCATTTCCGGTCACGTGACACCGTGGTCAAAAGGGAGTCTACCGCGCAAAAAAAAAAAAAAAAATTAACGTGCACTCGCGCACACTTGGGGGGATCGCCGACCCGATCATTCGCAGGGTAAATTGTGGCAAACGGCGGTCACTTGACCCGTAGAATAATTTTCGGAGGGCTATATCTCGGGAAGGGTCGCGCGTAAGGGTACGGTTCATTAGACATTTATTGTTTGCACAGAGGGGGGTCGCCACCCCTTCATTCAAAGGTTAAATCTTAACGTCTCGATCGCGTCATACGGATCTATATTTCTACCTATTAATTTAAACATTTTATAAATACTTTAAAATAGTTTAATTTGTTTATTTACCTTCGCTTGTAAACCTCGATTTTAAATGTATCCGCCATTTTTTTAACAAATTTCCCGTGAGTCAATGCGCGACGTTTATTGAGTCACGGGATGTTGTAAACGTTCGGCGCGAGGTTAATCGAGGCATATAATAAGGCAAGGCAAGGCATATAATAGCAGTGGCATGCCGTCATTAGAAGCGGTGGAAGCGCCGCTTCCCTCGTATTTTCTAAAAAATAAATAAATATTAATTTTAATTATACGAAAATAATCGCACGATATTTTATTTATAACCGCATTATGTATCTTATTACAAATTTCTATACTACACGTGAAAAAAAAATTGCT